TACACATCGAAGGCTAGTCAGTTGCATAAAACAGGGACAAAATTGCACAAAAAAAGTTTGTCAAAACATATACATGCAGGATCTAGTTTCGAAGAGCACATCACGACGATTTCAAAGGTGAAAACGGATCTTTATTCCAATACGCAGACTAAAAGTTATATTTTTTTTAGTTTTTGAAACCACAAATTAAATACACCAAAGAATAAAACACATGCATCGAAGAGATAACTGTACAGATACTGAAGGACCATATGAAAAGCTTTTTTAATTAGGATGATTAATTAGGAAAAAACATAAAATTTTTAGTTTAGGCCGGCCGCTCGCCTAGGCTAAGCAAGCAGCCGGCGGCTCGCTAGACTTGGTCTATATTATTTGAGAGAAGGCACTGACAGAAGGGGTTGCTGTTCTAATGAAGGAGGACGAGCACCTGTTTGTCCGTACGGGCGCATGCAGCACACCCCAGCTGCCCATTCTTGTTCCTCCCTTAGCTTTTCCCTTTGTTACTTTTTCCTTTTGTTACTTTTCATGTTTCTTTTATTTCCCTTTTTTTGCAAATATCTTCTATTTCCCTTTCTTATACTCCAACGGCTGAGTTCACATATTCTGTTTTCATTTCTTTTGTACTTTTCATTTTCCATTGTCTTATATATTTTTCTTACTAAAACTGTTCTTCTTCATTTCTCTCTTCCGTAACCTTTTATTTATCTTACTTTTTTTCCACAATCAATAGTAATAAGGAGAGATCGGGTGCACTTGGCGAATGCCACGCGTATACTGAAACACCCCCAACGATAAGCCATTAAATACACCAAACATAATAAGAAGCAGGTCCTTGTTCATCTCCGTCAGCTTCCAAGGTACCACATCAATAACGCCTTGCTATATGCCGCTTAAAGTGTCATATAGCAGCATTCGCCCAGGCGTCCCTTTTGATGGCTAGCCCATTCTGGTACTGTTTTCCAAATCTTTCTGGGCTTGGCATTTGTTTTTCGGCCATTGGATTTTTTTTGTGTGGTTCGTTTTCTTGGAAATGGTTTTACTAAGTTTCCTGTGATTTGGGGGTATAAATGTATTTTCACTTTTCTATTTCTTTAGCCATTTGAATTTTTTGCATTTTTATTTCTATTATTTCTTTTTAAATAAAGCCTAAATAATACGTATATAAATATTTTTGACAAATATATGAATTTTTTTCAAAAACACATGACCAATTTTAAAGTTTCATGAATATTATTTCTCATTTCATGAACAGTTTGTAAATTTTATGAACATTTTTCTAAAATGCATGATCATTTCTTTAATTATGTCAACTTTTTCCAAAAAGCGTGGCCGCTTTCAGATTGTATGATTTTCTATAAATGGGTGAGTTTTTGAAAAATTCTCTGATTGTTTCTCAGTATACATGAACGGCTTGTTTTAAAAAATGTGCACACTTATTTAAATCACATGAACATTTTATAAAATTTTAAAAATAGGTGAACACTTTTAAAGATGTAGAAAAAATTTAGGCATGAAATGTTTTTAAAATTACATGAACATTTTCAAATGGTCCAAACATTTTGAAAATACATAAAATACAGTTAAATGTCATGATAATTTCTAAAATACGTGAATACTCTTGGAATATTCACTTTAGAAAATAAAAGTAAGAGAAAGAAATGAAAAGAATGCCATGGGCATATGCTCATGCATATGTACATTAAGATTCATTAATATGATTATTATGCATTTGGAGGTCTGTATGTCAGCCGTGTAAGATTACCATGATCTCATCAGTTTGATAACCAGGCAGCACAACAATCTTTTTGAGGAATTTGTTCACACGTCGCTCTGCCTTTTTCATTGCAAACCCCTTTTGTGAGCAAGAAGTGTTGGGTGTGCTGCTGATTTGTTTCGATCCAAACCAGGAAATTGCTCTCTAAATTTGCAATTTTTTTTGGCCGTTGAAACTACCAATTCCCCTATAAAATGAAAACTATTTTACATCCTTTCTGGGCTCATTCATGGGCCTTGCGAGCACCGGATATTTTTCAGGGCCCATACCAAGATTGCGTGCATTTTTCCTCTTTTTTTTGTTGTTGTTGAGGGACTCCTGCTCTTCTTCTAAATTCGGCCTTAGAAAAAACCCATTCTACCTCCGGCCCATCAGCACCAATAGCGGCGCATGGCGGTCGCTGCCTCCACTCCGACACCACCGCCGGCTCTCCTTCCGGCGCAGGCGCCCTTCTCGCGCTGCCGCGGCCACCTCCCCCCTTCCCGACGCATATGCTTCTGCCCATGCTGTTCTGCAGATTGATTCCTATAATCCTACTCTAGTTCGGTAGGCCATGATGGAGGCACGCCGAGTATTCTACGCGTGAATTTGATTCTAGGTATGTACTCCATACCTATAGAAATTGGCTTGCGCAAAATATAGAATGTAGATCTGCACAGTACTCGCATATCCTGTTTTGACAGATTTTGAGTATGATGTCATTTTTATCAGTAGAACATATGACAAAGCAGCATTTGTACTCCCTCCATTCCTAAATGTATGTCTTTGGAGAGATTCAACTAAGACCACATACGGAGCAAAATTAGTGAATCTATACTCTAAAATACATCTAGATCATAGTTTTAAATAGTCGGCTATAGCCTCGCTATAGCTGTTTGAGCATGTTGCCGCTAAATGATTTCATGTATAATTTATCGCTATAGCCCACTATAGCCCAGCTATAACTGTTTTTAAGGATCTCCGCTATATGCTATAGCTCGCTATTTAAAACATTGATCTAGATACATCCGTATGTGGTTCATAGTGAAATCTCTACAAAGACTTATATTTAGGCACGGGGAGAGTATAAAATAGTACCGTTGCACATAAATAAAATTTTCTCTATGAGATGGATTTGAAACTTGTGATTTTAGCGGAATAATAGTTCGCCGTGAGTAAGATACTCGGATGGTGTAGTTCTCTCAAAATATTTGTTTCGAGATGTGAAAATTATAATGGTTTTAGAGTTCGCTTGCTGTGAAAATCTTGTTCAATTCCCACTTCACCTAATCGTGCTCTGTGTTAATTTGGTTGGTACTTATAAGCTTCCTTTGATGCCATTTTCTGACAATCTGTTCTTGGTTCATAATTTACTACGGGAATTTATCATCTGTGAATGATATTACCAGTGGAGCTCTGTATTTTGTAAGCCCGCTTACTTGCAACGCTGACTTCTTGTGTTTGCGTGTCTAATCATTTGCCTTTACCAAATAGTACTACTCAAATGGTTAAGACCAAGTTTTTTCCAGAAGATAATTAACTCAGCCCCTGTCATCTGATGTAAGACATTTGCACCGAATATGTTGCAACTGTGCGGCACGAACTTAGGGACAAGTATATATGTAGCAGATAGACATTGAGAGAGCAATTTTCCGTCACTTGAAAATCAAGGAAATGAAAGTTAACATGCCCACCCATGACATGGGTGAAACATGGTAGTGCAATATAGAATAGTACAGTACAGGCGAATGAACCGATGCAAATCCATATATGAAAAGAAAAAGTCTGACGCAAACCCATAGCAAATAATCTCTACTGCTTGCACTGAGAGCTAGCAGGAGCTTGATGGCGCTATCTCCAAGTCTTGGTGCTTTATTTCACCCTGGAGTTCCCGTGCTTGTTTCACGAGGGAATCGAGGGTGTCGGCAGTGGCAGGCGTGGCTGCTGTGGCAAAAACCATGGAGCTCTCGAGATCCATCATGGTATCTGAAACGCTGGACGGCGAGTCCATGAGGCTGTCCAGATTAGCTCGTTCGACACCTGTACTATGGCACCTGAGTTTCTGCATTGCTGCTATCACCATTCTAGTGGTAAGCTTCATCGCTATCAGGCTGTCAGTGGTGATGAGATCCCTGTTTAACTGTACCATCTTCAGCGCAAGGCTGAACACACCACATTCTGCTGGATCTCTGGCTTGATCTCTTCCTTCTCCCAGCAAAATTGCATCTAGATCAATGTTTAATTTGTCAAATGCCGTCACACATAGGGATAGCAGAGCAACATGCAGCTTGTGGTGTTTGTTTTGCTTAGGAGGGGACGATGTATCGTTCTTCTTCTTGTCGTTGTTGGTAATGCAACTTATGCTGCGGACCCTGCCCACACTACACAGCAGATTTGTTCCTAGTTCGGTATATTTGTTCCAAATTAGATTCTAGTTATTCCTCCAGCCCTGTACCAATTTTTCACAGTACTTACGCATCCAGAATATGAAATTCAGTAGCAGCATTACTGGGACAGTATTAACGCACATAACTGAACTTTCCTATTCAAGATGCAGATGAAACTTGTGATTTTAGTGCAATAATAGTTTGGCGTCAGTAGATTGCTTGGAGCTGTGAAACTTATAATGGTTTTAGAGTCCACCTGCTATGAAAATCTTGTTCAGTTCCCTACTTCACCTGATGATGCTCTGTGTTAATTCCCTTGGTACTTATAAGCTGCCTTTGATACTTTTTTCTGATAATCTGTTCCTGGTTCATATATTTACTGCAGGGATTTGTCATGTGTGAATGATATTACCAATGGAACTTTGTATTTTGTAAGTCCTTGTACTTGCAACACTGACTTCTTGTATTTGCGTGTTTAATCTGTTGCCTTTACCACATAGTATACTACTCAAATGTTAACACCAAGTTTTTTTTCTTCAAAAAGATAATTAACTCAGCCCCTATCATCTGATCTAAGACATTTAATCGGGTATGCCACAACTGTGCGTCTGTGCCGCACAAACTTTGGGACAAGTGTATGTTTAGCAGATAGACATTGAGAGGGTAATTTCCATCACTTAAAAATCATAGAAATAAAATGTTAATGCGCTCACACGATGAGACACAGAAAACATGGTAGTACGATGTAGTTTAATAGAATACAGTACAGGTGAATGAACATACACAAATCCATATATCAAAAGAAAAAAAGTCTGTCATAAATCCATAGCAAATAATCTAGCTTGTTTGCCCTGAGAGAGCTAGCTAGCTGCCACTATTTCCAAGTCTTGGTCCTGTATTTTGGCATGAAGTTGCCGTGCTTGTTTCACGAGGGAATGGAGGGTGTCGACAGTGGCAGGTTTCGTCATCGCGAAAACTATGCATCCCTCCAGATCCAACATGGTCTCTGAAACACTAGACAGGGAGTCAATGAGGCTCTCCAGATTAGCTCGGTCCACAGTGGTGCCGTTGCCCTCGAGTTTCTTCATTGCTGCTATCACCATCCTAGTGGTAAGCTTCATTGCTGTCAGGCTGTCGGCGGTGATGAGGTCCCTATTTAGCTGTACCATCTTTGTTGCAAGGCTGAATGCAACACATTCTCCTGGATCCATAGCTTGTCCCAGCGAAATTGCATTCAGATCAAGGTGTAATTTCTCACACGCCGTCACACAGAGGGATAGCAGGGCGACGTACAACTTGTGCTGTTCGTTTTGCCCTGGAGAGGATGAAGCATTCTTCTTCTTGTTCCTTTTCTTCTTCTTGGTTTCGCTTTGGCTTTCGATGTCAGTATCTGATCTGGCATACTCAGGCTTTTCTTCTTCTCCTGTTGATCCATGGCATATTTCTCTGAGTACCTGCAATGTTAATAACAATAGCGTAAAGTATGTATATTAGCATATATAGAATGAGTTGCTGCGGTTACTTCACAGTTGCAAAAACAAAATGTTGTAGAAACGCAAAGAAGGAAGTGTGCCAATTGTCATGAAAGGGGAATGATTGAATGACAGGCAAGAGGAATATTCACCTTGCTTGTATATAAATAACAGAAATAAATAAAGAAAGGAGCGTGTGTGTGGGTACCTCTGGCATCACACCTGTAATGGTGTTCTTGAGTGTGCTGAGATATTCACCATTCTCAGCAAACTGAATACATAGATGCTCCAGAATTTCTGCAGCATTTTTTCTGCATGTGTCGTTGTCTCCAACTTGTAAAAGTATTTTAGCAAGACCACCAACAAACTCATTATGTTCCTCCTTGGGGAGGAGGGTGGCGACGCTTTTGCTGCTGAGAAACAGCAACACCAGTGTTTCGCCTGCAGTCTTTCTGATGGAGGTGTTGCTGCTATCACCATTAATGAAGATTCTCACGAGCACCTTAGTTAGATTACCTCTGTTTGCAGTTTCATCAATGCATAGATGCGTCAGGATCTGCATGGCCTTCATCTGCAGTTCCCCGCCTTTGCATTCTTCGCAGACAACAATTTTTTTCTTAGTGCCGATTGATCCTTTGTCGCTTGAGATTTGTTGACGGAGGTCTGCCCCAGTGTCTCCCTTGGTATTCACAATTAGTCTAAGTATCACCCCAAGTGATCTCTCTACTACTTGAGTGGACCATGCACTATGACCTGCATGGTGCACTATGTCGTAGATAACAGGTGCCATAATCTTGGAGACAAGATGTTTGGTGTTGCTTATGACTGTGCAGTTGTCCTCACTGCCTGCAAGTTTCCAAAGGATGTGCAGGCCAGTCAACAACAGCTCTTTGTAGCCATGGAACTGATTGGTTGTGCTCCTGTTGGCCTTAGATGACGATGGCCGATCGATGCCGTTGTCTGACTTTGACTTTGATGAAGAAGAAATAGCAGTAGCAGTGTTGCTGCTCTTACTAATTTTTTGCCTGCAATACATGATACTGAACTTCAAATTGTTGTGCCCCATAGCCACCAGCTCAGAGAATGATAGTTTATCCATGTCACTGTCTGAGTCTGACTCTGAGTCTGACTCTAAGTACTCTGGGTTTGACTCAAATGACAAAGTATTGATGCTGCTGCGGCCTTGTTCCTGTTCTTGACAATTTTTTGTGTTTGGCGATGGTGCCAGAGTCATCACAGTGGCTTCTTTTCTGTTTGATGACGACGGCAATGACCGATATGGCTGTAATCGGCGGTATTCTTCAAAGGTGTTGATGAGTGAAGATACGCATTGGATCCCTCGCGGGAACTTCTCCAAATGAATCCTGCCAGCAACGTGCTCCACAATCCTCGCGGCGGCCTCCCGCACCTTTCTGTCGGATGAGCATTGCGAATCCAGTGTCTGAAGCAGTCTGTGGAGAATGCCTATGGAAGATGCAGACCCAATCAACCGTTTTATCATCCTGCGCTGCTGCACAATGATCTCCACACTCTTCTTGTTACTCTCCTCATTCCCCTCTTTCTTCTTCGTATCCTTTTGAACCAAAGGAGCTCCAGTCTTTTCCTCTAAATCTAACTGTTGCTGTTGCTTTTCTTCTTCTTGTTTGATCAAAATAGGAGAATGCTGCCGGGTGAGTAGTCTGTCCAGTATAAGTGCCCCGGAAAGATAGCTATGAGGCGACTTGGACTCCATGAGTTCTACAGCATATGTGATGAGGTTCCTCTCTCTGGCAGATGATATGTTCTTGAAGCACCCCTTCCTGACTTCGCCCAGGTAGCCTAAAACTGCACGGTCACCATCTTGGAAGCCGTATGCTTGGCTCACTTGTTTCACTACCCTCTCCTCCAAAAACAGCAACATGATTCTACACAGCCACAAGGCACTTTGGGCCACACACATGGTGTACAAGACGTTATGCGCCGGATCCATGTTTACTCTACCCTCATCCGTGTCGCCGTAATGGTCATGGTCCATTAGACCGCGTACCGAAATCCAAGCGGTGATGAGCATCCCAAGGAACAGGAAGAACGGCGCAGAGGCGATACACATGATCAACACCGTACTTTGAACCAGCGATAGAACTAGAAGAACGACTGCAACAACTCGATTCACCACTGCATCAGCCAGCTGCGAGTTGCTCGTCAATAGATTCTTCATCGTCAAGCTTGAGGACTGAGCACCATAAGGGTCGAACCTTTCAATGAAAGAGGGCTCAATCCTGTGCACATGCATTCCAAGTTAGATACATGCTCGCTCTGTATATCACAATCCTCCGGTGGTCAGATGAATGATGGGCTTAAAAAAAGATAACAACGAGGAGGAAGGAAATCCTGATGACCAGAAATGGAAGAGAGAGATGAATCAGAACACTTGGTTTTGTGAGCCTGTTGGTCGCTGCTTTGGCTCACTTGTAGTTTCTCTTGGTGGTTGTTTGCTTTGTTTTGTTTTGATGTTTGTTGTTACCGTTTTGCTGCAGCTGAACCATTTTGTTATTTTGCACATGGATGCTAAAGCATGTTTGTTGTTCCGCTATCGTCTCATAGTGGAACCTGATCCATTTGGGATCGTATGGAAGAAAAAAAACGAGAACAAGATTAAGCAACAAAGAAATCTCCGATATACTCTCTTCTTTTCATTACAAAGCCCACTGCAACGGTATCCTGGCAGGGTAGCCCCTCGAAAACCCCATCGCTCATGACATGGATAGGGAACACGCGGGCGCCGGATGGAGTGCTCGAGCATACTCTCCATATTACCAAACTGATGTGCCACGTCATCCTAGTCTATCGAAAAAGGAAAGTATATGATCCCCAAACTTCATGCTACCCCGGTCAAGAGCCCGTGTGTATTTATTTGGGGTTTAAAAAAATAATTTAAAAGCTATAACTTTTGATTCGAGCTTAGTAATTTAGATCCGTTTTCATTGTTGGGTTTCTGATGATGAGTTCTTCAAAACTAGATCACATATGGTTAGGTTTCAACAAAGGTTTTTATAGAGCAATTTTGGTTGCTACGGAGGCAACTTTATTGTTATACGAAAATAACTACTTTTTATTGCCTAGTATGACTACCTATGAGCGAGGAATCCTTCTAAGTTTGTTACCATGGTACCAATTGACTAATTTCACTTGTAAGTAGCAATATAGAGAAGTAAACTCAGTTTTTTGGTCTAGTGGGACTGCCTATTAGGTAGTTTGTGTAAAAACGAGAAAATCACATGAAACATGAGGGGCCTTTAGTGCTACATGCAAGCAACTTTAATGCACTAAGTGTATCCGTGAATTTTGCTAACATTATCCCAACATGCCTATCGTTGGTAAGCTCAGTTGCCTAAAAATACTCCGAAATTGCCTACCATTAATGCCCAGTTGCCTTGTATTGGTAATAGTTGCGTATCGATGATGCTTAGTTGTCTATAAATACTGTAAAATTGCCTACCATTGATGCTCAGTTGCTTGATATTGGTAATTAGTTGCCTACCATTGCTGCTCAGTTGCCTAACTTCGCAAATTAGTTGCCTACAATAGTATGAAGTTGCTCATCATTGTTCGTCTAAGTTGCCTACAAACACTCTGAAGCTACCTACCAATGATGCATAGTTGCTTGTCATTACTGTTTTAGTTGCCCACAATACATTGAAAAGTTGACAATCAGTGTTGCTAAGTTGTCTATCTATGAAATTAAGTTGCTTACTATACCGGGAAGTATTTAGTGCAACTAAAAATGATATTAAGCTATTCGCCAGTCATGGAAAGCAACTTAGGATAATGTTAGTCTATCTAAAAAACTAAGTTGCCTATCAACCTAGAGGCGAAGCTAGTTATGGTGGGAAACTTAAAGATGAAGCTAGTTAACTTGATAGTCATTGTAGCCAATTTCAAAGGGTTTTTAAATGATCGGCAGTGATCCAACGTAGACTAACAGAAAGTTGCTCCTATAACACTACAGTTGCTTCTGTTTCATCCAAAGTTGCTCACTAAAAAAGTTAGTCGAAACATACTCAAATGGGATCTAGTTTCGAAGACCTCGTCACGGAGAACCTAGTGGTGAAAACATATCTTAATTTTGTTGATCGATTCAAAAGTTATAGCTTTTCGAAAATTTGAAAAATGCAAATTAAATGCATGCACATGGGGTCAGGATCTTGCAGCGAAATTGCGGGACGAGTGGGCAAGCAGAGACGTGGTGGGCGGGGTGCTTTTCCTGCGATTGGTTTTAATTCCACTGTGTATTAGAGACCACAAGCGGGAGAGAGACAGGCAGAAGACAAGAATATGTGATCCCTTGTCATCTAGCGCGTGCGCCAGCCAAAACAAGATCGTGAAGCTGGATGATCTAGCATTTGCGACAAAACAATGGTGGGTGAATTCACGTGGGAAAAGCCCAGTAGCAGATCAGTGAGGGGGTATTACCCACCTTCAGTAATGATAAAAAATTACCCACCTTCTGTATGAGGATGACACCATGATCATGATGGAGGGGTTGGAATTTGATACTATCAACCTTAAGTTCCTACTCCTCTGCTCTAAGGCCATGTCGGGCCTTAAGATCAACTTTGAGAAGAGCGAAGTGGTGATCATGTATTACCCACGTGAACAGCAACAACGGATTGTGGACAACTTAAATTGCAAGTTGTCCTCATTTTTTTATCACCTACCTTGGGATGTCGATCGGTAACATTAGGATCATGATCCTAGACTTTGACCCGCTAGTAGGTTAAGGCTAAGCTGTGGTGCAGGAGGTTCACCTCCAAGGGGAGGAACGCTATGGTCATCGACTCTTGCCTCTCGAGCCTCCCCATGTTTATGATGGGGTTGTATATCCTCCTAGAGGGGGTTCATGGCGCCTTTGAGAAGGAGCTCTCGCGCTTGTTTTGCCAGGGGGTCCAACGGGCGTTAGAAGTACCATATGATGAAGTGGCTTGATATCTGCTTCCCCAAAGAATAGGGGGTCTGCGTATTCTGGTATATTGGCCCACAAATGTGGCCCTCGTGCTGAAGTCGGGTTTGTTGGATCCTTAGGGACGAGGGGGGCTATGTTTTCAACTTATTAAATCTATGTATCTCCAAGCCCGCTCCCTATTAGGGTGTGATCATAAGGAGGAATCCTAGTTCTAGGAATCCCTTCAGGTGATTAAGCATGAGATCCTCCTGGGTACCGGCATCTCCATTTGTGATGGAGAGGGTACCTTTTTTGGCTTGATCCATGGCTCGGTAGGATCTCGCTTAGCACCAACTTCTCGGCCCTTTTCGCGATTTGCTCCGATCCGATGCTCTTAGTAGCTTCAGCGGTTTGCAGTGGGAATGAGAACATCTCGTTCCAACAAACATTCAGGCCCGAGGAAACTTAGCATGGACCAAGTTATGGCAGGCCCTTTCGGTTTCGCCATTGGCGACCCCAGACGCCGTGTCGTGGCACCTTGCCCCCTCGGGGCTCTTCTCTATCGGGTTGGCATACCACACTCGATGTCGGTCCAAGACCCATGCTTGGTCCACTCCTTTGTGGAAAGCTCCACTGCCACTGAAAACAAAGTTTTTGTATAGCAGTTGCTCTATGACCGCCGCCCGCTGGGTACAGAGGTGGGAAAGAGACATTGACTTGGCAATGACCTTTTGTCCCCTTTGCTTGTCCCGCCTCCCGTGTCTTGTGGAGATTTCTCCATGAGGCCAGTGGTAGGCCTCAGGACTGGGTAAATTCTTAGATCTCCACGTGCACCGTAATGGAAAGTGGAGGCGTATCTTCTGGTTGGTGCTCGCGACTAAGGCTTAGACCTTATGATTACGCATAATAAGATGGTCATTGAGAGGGTCTTCTTGCAACGTGGTTCAATTTTGTGTTTAAATTCTTGGTATTTTTTGCAGCAGTTGCACCCGCTTTGTAGGCGCGGGACAGAGGCCGGCTAGGTGCCATGCTGGATGGCCTTTAGGTGCTCGATTGTTAGTTCACCTCACCCCCTAGCTAGCACTTGATTCCTCGTCTCCGAGGAGTCATGCAACGCCTTTCCTTTTCACTTTTGGGCATGTCTTGCGTTGTTGCCCCATCAGACCTCTTGTTTACTTTCCTTGTACTTGGATCACTTGTTGTTTGGATGTGGCTGGTGCTTTCTTTATAAAGTAGGGCGAATGCCTATCGCGAGAAAGGCCCAATAATGGATCGCGAGAAAGTCGTGATGGGTTTGTGCTTTGGGCCCCTCCCGCTCCTTCTGAAGCACCATTCGACCCTTGACAAGACACATCACCAATAGTACGGTCCCCAAACTTTTCCAATTCTCGGTGTTTGCTCATGCCCTTTCCCGCCCGTGATCTCGCATATATAAACCCCCTCCACTCTCGTATGCACATCCCACCCCACCTATGGACGCTCCACCGCTCCCAGCGATACACCCCGCGTGCCCTACCTCTCTCTCACACCAAAAACCCACCACTCCGCTACTGCCCACCCTTTCCCCAAGTCCCCACCTTGCCACCGCCCTGATGGTTGCCGAACTATGCATGTGCCCCGTCCTGGCCGGCCTGCCTCCCGGTGTTTTAACTGAGTGGTGGAGGAGGAGCCCCGCTCCTCCCCTTGTTGCATGTTTTCCGCCAATGCTTCTTGTCGCTGCCCTTCTTCACCTGTACCGTCATCGACATGGCTGCCGCCTGGGTTTAGCGATGATGAGGACATGGAGTTCAACTAGACAACGACGCCACGGTTTAGCAACAGCAACTCCAAGCAGTGCGTGCATCATCCACCCGCCCAATCCATCGAGGCCTATGAAGCCACAAAGGCATGGCATCAGTTTTGCTTTCCTAAGACCTCGCACCCTAGTTATCGCTGCTAGCCCTAGCCCTAGCCGCCCCTGCTCATGGACTTTGACTCCTTTGGCTTCTCTCCCCACTCGCCGATGGCCTCCGACCACACCAACCCGTTCACCCCAGCAGCGCCTCGCCCCGCCGTCGCGACCGCCACTACTATCCAACTCATCAACATCCGCAACCATGTTGTCGCCATCATCGACTTTGACGAGTCCAACATCTTCATCTAGCAGGCCTTTGTCAACCTCACCTTCCAAAAGCTCGGCCCTCTCGATCATGTTGGACGGCTCGGTCGACGCTACCATGATGCTCGGTGATGTTGGTGGAGTTAGATCGACCAATGCACCGTTCATGGCTATACACCACCGTCTCAAAAGACACCCTTGAGATCATCATCCAAACCTCCGACTCGACCGAGCACATC